TTGTATAAAGATTAGGGTATCGGATTTTGAGATTTTGCATAGTTGGTAGATTATTTGTAAGAACTTTAATATAGAAGAGGTATTTTGAAAAGCAATGTTCAAGAGAGTTGAGAATTTTGAAGATAAGATTTCAATTTATATCAGATGTATAATTGTTAAAGAATTTGAAAGAAGTTCATGAGAATTGTAATATTGCTTTTGATAAATGAGCAAATTTTGAATGTTATTGTATAATTATATCAAAGGAAGTGAGTAGAAAAGTTAAAGTATGAGTAAAGAATTTCTATAATTGGTTTAACTGTGCTATGTTTGGCTAAGAGGTCTGCTTGGTTATAAAGAGAGCTAGTTGAATATGATTTAACTTTACTAGGGTTAATAGAAATATTTTTAGTTGTTAGGAATGAGTTGAGGATAGAAATAATGTCCTAATTTTTTTGTTGAATGAGTTTATGAGATGTAAAGCCTGATAAGCTTTTAATTGCTAAAGGGTTATCCATGTAGATAGTAAGTATAGAATTAATTGGTAAAGTAAGAAGTAAGGGAATAGTTGCTATTAGTTCTGAGTGAGTAGAATTAGGAGAAGGTAGAATTGCTGCATTGAAATTAATAGAGGGGTCGTTTTCACAAATCCAGCCTATGCTAGTTTGTATATTAGGTGTTTTGAGATTTTTAATAAAAGCATCAGTATAGAATTGTAAGTCAGTTGTGTTTAGATTTAGGATATTGGTATGTAATTGAGTTAGATAGTTTTGATAGTTAGGTGTTTGATGATATGTTGTATAAGATATATTTCCCAAGAAGATAAATTAATTTGAGGTTGGTGTAGAGATAATGAAGTAATAGTAAGGTTTTTAGATATATTAATTATAGCAAAGATCACTTTATAGTCTATTTGTAAAAATGGTTTTTTAAAATTAATTCGTTTATATAGTAAATTGATAAAAGTAGGGTTAAAAAAAGATCTACAGTAACTCTTTCCTGTACACATTAGGCAGGAAGAGTAAAATCTTAAACGGACAAAATACCCAATATATCTAGGAGTAAAAACCCAAACAGTTCAACAATAACAAGGGCTAAAGCCCTTGTTTTAGCAAAAAGAAAGGTCACAAAAGCTTTACTTCAAGAACAACCAAATAAAAAATACAAAATTATGGATTTTTCTAACAAAGAAGTCAAGGTTAAAGACTTTTCTAGTCTTCAACTCACAGAACCTAAACCAAACTCAAGTATTTTGCTCACAAACCCCACTGAAGATACAAAGAAACATAAGTTAACCACTAGCAAGGAAAGTTGAGATGATATTGTATCTCAAAAAAACCCTTGGCTGAATTCAAATACGTCTTTACAAAAAACGTAACTGAGTAAACAAAACAACAAAGCGACGCACGTGTCTGAAAAGGTTCTGCATCATAAAGTCACGTGGAAACACTACCTAAAAGTCCTAAACCTCCTGTGAACCCATACGTACATGTTCTAACTAATGAACTAAGACAAGAAGCCACTCGGGATAAAGCTCTACTTAAACAGTGGTCTAATCTCTTCCTAAAGCTAAAAAGAGGCCAATCTACCTTTTCAACATTTTCTCCAAGAGAGCAAATTAAATCCAAGAATGATAATGCTCTGATTATCGATATCTCAAGAATTCATTGTTCTTTTAATAAAATAATATCCACACTTTTTAAAAATGTTAAAGACAAAGTCATTGCTGCTAAGCAATATCTTAAAAAAGGCGCCTGCTCTCATTTAGAAATTATCTTTGCAAACCAAGACCTACTCAAAGAATATGCTAGTAATGGGATAATAATTTTAGGTAAAACCTACTATGGCTACATCCCAACAGATGCTCGCAAATCCTTCTTACTGGTCAAAGTCAGAAATGTGCTACTTGGTGACAAAAACCAAATCTCTGACCTTATCCAAGAGGCTTTTGAAGACATAGACAATATCTCCTCTATTAAACCTCTTTTAATTGAAGGCACTCCTTATTTAACAGACCAATAGATTGTCATTTTTGAAAACACAGATGACCCAAACCTAGAGAGTAAAATCTCTCGATTTACCCAGGTCGGTGACAATAAGGTCACTACAGAATGGAAATCAGCTCCAAAAATTTGCTTCTTCTGTGATCAAGAGGGTCATATTAAGAAGGAATGTGAACAACTCCAAGAATCACTTAGACTTCGGGATCATTATCGTAAATTTAGAGAAGAAGTTAGAAAAACAAGAGAGGAAAGATTAATAAGCAGCTCACCACAAAAGACTCCTGTATTACCTTTGCAGGAAGAACCAACAATAACTGAAGTACAAGAGGAACTTCCAAAAGAAAACATTCCTGTTCCAAACTTGGAAGAAAACCCCAAGGAAAATGCTGAAAACCTAGCTAATCTTGATACAATGATGATACATTCAGAAGAGGTAACTAAGAAGAACGATGAAACTGATGACAAGCTAAAATCTCTCTACATTCAAGAAGAGGTAGAAAATCAACTTTTGCTCAATAAAGCTCCAAGAGATGAGCTAACAATGGAGGATCCAGCTCAAACCTTTGCTTTACAAAGTCTGATATAAATGAGAAAGAAAATACTCTGCCTAATATAGATGATGAAGGCTTTATCACAGTATCTAATAAGAAGAAAAATAATATAAAAGCAGGTTAAATCAGGATATCATAGAATCTACCCCATACCAAAAGGGCAAAGGTAGGCACAGAGCCATCTTACAATAAACAAATCTTATCTTATTCTATGACAGAAAGCCCAAAAATTTTTATAGCTACACTAAACATAAAAGGGCTAAATGACTGTGAAAAACAACAAAAAACATTGACATTAATTAAATCATACAAACTGGATATAATTGTAATTCAAGAAACGAATCTTAGTAATCAAAACACTTGCAATTTACTAAAACTACAATGGCTATTTGAATCAATCTGGACTGACAAAACTGCAATACTGACTGGCAGAAGAGATCTAAAACTTCAGAACTCGCAAATCTCTCATGAAGGAAGGGTTATTACAGCAGACATTTTATATAAAAAGTATCTTTTCAAGATCACAAACGTCTATGCTCCACTGAACATGAAAGACAGAACAGCTTTCTTTGAAAATTGGATTTCTCCTTTTGACGAAGACAAGATAAACATTATTGCAGGAGATTTTAATACAAATCTAGACCCAACTATAAACAGAATAAGCCAAGCCAATGGACAAAATAACCCATCAAGGTTAAAACTTAAAAGGCTATTAAACAACTTCCTAGACTCTGCATCTCTAATGGAAAAAAAACCTTTTCTTACATTCTACCAGAATACAAGAAATAATTAGTCGATGGCTACACATCTAGACTATATTTTTATAGATGAGAACTATGATTTTTTAATCAAAAAAACTAAAACTCTCTATGGAAACTCAGACCACCTGCTAGTCAAATATACCCTCATTCTAGAAAATGAAGCAAAAAAGGCATACAGTTGGAGGTTCAATAAAGACTCTTTTAGAAACAAATTATTAGAAAAAGAAGTCATTGAAGAAATTAAATCTGTCAACTCAGCATCAGACTGGGACTGGCACAAAGTTTGCATGCAATTAATTATAAGAGCTTTCAAAAAACCCAAAGCTCCCAAAAGTAAGATAATAACCCTGAATAAAAAAATAACCAAACTTAAAGACTCTTTAGCAGCAAACCCTGA